TTGGTTTTATTATTATATTTTAGTTTTTTTTTTTTTTTGGAGAGGTTTTGCTACAGGGTGCGTGCGCTTGCCAGCCAGACAGAGAGAGACATAGAGACAGAAAGTGAGAAATCATCCCCCAGGGGCGATGGCCACGCCGCAATCCCTTCTCCTCCATTCTCCTCTTGGGATCTTGGGCATGCACACACATGCACCCAGCGTGAGTTTTTTTCCAATTTTTATTTTTTTTGGAGAGGTTTTTGCTATAGGGCGCGTGCGCTCGCCAGACAGACAGAGAGAGACATAGAGACAGAAAGCGAGAAATCACCCCCCAGGGGGGATGGTCACGCCGCAATCCCTTCTCCTCCATTCTCCTCCTATATTTTAGTTTTCTTTAAATAGTAAAATACTCATGTGTTTTTATTTTATTCTGTTGTTTCATGTCATTGGGTCCTATTGTATTTGTTATGTTTTCATATTGGTCATGTGTTCTAATGCTTCTATTTATTTTATGGATGCCAGATTTTTGTGTTTCCTGTTGAGAACATAAAACAGTTTTCTGAAATGTTCTTGATCTTGCAGTAGATTATTTCTTGGGTTTTTAGGATAATCTTCCTTGTCTTTCATTCTGCATATTTTTGCCTCTGATGTCCACACTAGTCACCCTTCTAAACCTTTCGTTATCTCATGAACATTAGTTTGTCAATATCCAAGGGTGTGATCTTCCCTTGACTTTTGCTCACATGTTCACATTGTGATGATTCATCCTCACAACCAGAGGGTGATGGGCTGTGACCAGCTTGCCGGATAATTTCTAAATTCCTAAGTATTCTGTGACAGTTATCCTTAATGGGGATTTCCCTCCCTGCCCCTCAAACAGATATGTGATAATGTCTGGAGACATTTTTGATTGTTATAAACCAAGAAGGGGGTGTGTGCACTACTGAGATCTAGTGGCCAGTGGCCAGGGAGGCTGTTAAACATCCCACGATGCATGGTACCCACTCCAGTGTAAAAGAGCTATGTGGCCAAAAATGTTTAGTGCCAAAATTGAGAAACTTTTGTATTATATACTCGGTTCTGCTAAGGTAGCATTTTATCTTTCTTCCTCTACTTTTCTTATCATGCTTTGAATCAATGGAACACATGTAAAATCCAATTTTCAGCATATATTACTACCAAATATCCTTTTTCTTTCCCAGATTGAATTGCTTTGTATATAAGAATGACATGTGCAAAGATGCAGTTTGTCATTTCCAGTCCTCTGCTTCATGTCCAGAGAATTACTGTCCCTCAAAGGATGTAAGATTAGGGCATAAAGAGTAGCAGCATTAGAATGGGTGATTCAGGAAATGATTTGTTTATTAATTCAGTTGGTTAGCAGGCAGCGATGACTGTGTACAATGTGCCAAGGATCTAGACCCCTCAGAAAGTGGCATTCATGAAAAGAGGGTTGTTTCATGAGTTGCTTGGGTATCAGAGTCAGAGCAGACAGTAAGGAGGTATTTCGTAGGGTTTCATGAAATCTGGGTATCTTAGGCAAGACTTTGGTCTCTAATAACGCCCATTGCCTCACAATTAACAAACACTCCTACTAGATTCTGTTTTTTTTTTCTTTTTCATTATGAGTTTTTGTGTGTTTTTCTCTGTCTCCTGGTTATTTAAGTGGAAAATTGACAAAGGCTGCATCAGTAGCTGATAAGCTGATGCACTTTCGAGCTCTGCTTGATTTTTAATAAGCATATATGTCTCCCATACCAAACTCTTAACTCCTTGAGGGAAGGCACTACCCCTCATGGAATACTGTACAGAAATGATGTTGGCAACTTCTTGGTAAATAATTAGATTTTATCTGCATTCTTTATATAAGAACCAGAGACAATTTAGTATATGTCTTTTTAGGAATTACAGTGTGGCTGTAGTGGGGGCTGATGATCTGGCTCCCAATATGGGTTTGCAGAGAATCTAGGCAGGAGATCTAGTGTGGCCATTTTGAACATTGTCTCTGCAGAACATTTTAAGCTGTTTTCCCTAGCCTCATCTTCAGAAAAGCCCGTACGAGGGCCAGCACCAGCAGCAGTCATTCTAAGCTGCTTCCATTCTGCATTTTACTGGTTAGAAATATATTAACTCCAGGACCATCTGGCCAATAAGAAATAGCCAAGGCAGGTACCATAAATATGGTGATCGATTATCGTTTGTAGACACAGAGTAGCCTTTTTCTTGATCTCTTAGCCCTATCTGGGACTCCCTCTATTTCTGGAGGAGGCCTGCAGCAATTGTACGGGTGGCGTGGACATCTGGAGCACCTCAGGGAAACATGATGTGGAGACATTATATAATGCAATGGCTAGACGATCTTTAGGGCATCTCTGCAAAGTACCCAGGCATCGAGGCTGAGGAAAGGCAGCAGGGAGAGTGAAGGGAAGGTAAACATCTCACTCAGATAAAGGAAGAGGACGGGGTGTATACTTGGCTGTTTCAAACACCACATTCCTGTGCATTTTCCTCGAAGAGGACTGGTTTTAGGGTCAGTTGGGCCAATTCCTTGTGCTGTAATTTCCGTTTCTAGGTACCTGGCCTAGTAGAAATGACTTTGCACTTGGGGTTAGAAATCCTGCTTCTAGTCCTGACTATCACTCCTCACAAATGAAGCCCAGGAAACACCTTTCCCTCTCTGAGCTTCATTTGTCTCATGTGTAAGTAAAGAGATTGGTTAGAAAATTCAAAAAATTCAAATTCTGTGGCATGGAGAGATATTTCTTATCCTTATATAGCAATGGGCTTTCAATTAGCAATAATTGCTCCTCGGATAAACCTCATTGGCTACGATACTGCCACTGCGCAAAGCTAGCAATGGGCTTTCAGTCAACAATTCTGGCAGGGTCATTGAGAGCTTTGTCACATTGGTAAGTAAATGCAGGCAGGGTCACACCAGCTGCAGAAGCCATGCATGAGAAAGGCTCTTCTTTTTTCCAGTCCCTCTTCTCTTTACCCTCAGCATACTGGACACATGACCGAGCCCACCACTGTCTCTTGGAACCCCCCTGCAAATCACTGAAAATTCTGTGTGCCTTAGTTGCTCAGCTTTTAAGCATCAGCACCATCCTTACATGGGAGGGGCACCTGGGGCAACCCCTGCTATCAATGTAAAACTAGATGGGTGACATTTTTATGTCAGTGACCATCATTTATTGAGGACTTACTATGAGTTAGAAATGGTACTAAGAGCTTTGTTTGAATAACAACAACATGAATAACAGCTAATATTTATTAATGCTTAATACATGCCAGTGCCAGCTATTGCTGTAAATACTTTACACATATATTAAACCATTAAGTTGTCACAACTACCTCACAGTAGGTGTTACTATTATTAGCATATTACTGGGGATAGAACTGAAGCACCGAGAAGTTAAGTGACTTTTCCAAGGTCACACAGTGAGTAAATAGTACTGTTTGGCTTAAACCCACATAAACTGACTAGAGAGTCCACTTTTAACCACATAATATAGGCTTCATTGTCTTTTTTCATTCTCCCAATTTTGTGAAGTATCTAAAATGTATTTATCCTGGTATTACAGATATGCAGGTTGAGCCTTGGAGAGGCGAGATAACTTATTTTAGGTCACACAGAACTAGAATTTAAACTTGGGCGTGGGCGACTTTAACCCTTGTGTCTTGTTAAAGAATTTTCCTCTGATGAAACAGCCCTCTGAGATAGATCTGTTAGATCTTGTCATGCCCATGGTTCAGATGAGAAGTGAAATATCTTGCTAAGGCCCCTGGTCTTGATGTTTTCTTCTCCAGGTTCTGGTCATTCATTCATACCTCATCCCTGTGGCCCCAGAGAATGACCACCTTGGCACCCACATGAGATATGAGGCTAGACACGAAATCTTCCTGGCAGAGAAAACACAAGACCGACATTTTCATTCAGGTGTAAGGGACAGATAGGAGATGCTTTTTCTGAAAGCAGCTTTTGATAAAGGAAGAGGAAGACAGTATGAAGACATCAAGGCCCTGGGCGGTCGGAGAAGGCGTGATGGATTGCGGAGAGTTTGCGCAGAGGGGGGAGGCTGAAGTCATTGACGTCAAACCTCCAGCTGCATAATTTTAACTGGGAACTGGCTCCGTTTAATGCACACCTTTTCTGCATTGAATCAATTTTCTCTCTGTAAATTTGGGCGTCCTGCAGCACAGATACATTTCCAACCAAGCCTTATTGCCAAGGGTCCAGTTCCCATCCAGAGAAGGGGGAGGGGGTGGGATCTGAAATCTTGCTCTGGGCTGGAGGGCAGCCCTAAGCCTATGCGGAGACAGACGCCTGCCTTTGCCGGAGGAGGCTATGGGTTGGGTGCTGCGAGAATGCAGCAGATGGAGGTTGCCGGGCTGCAGTTGGGGCCCAAGCGGAGGGCTGAGCCCCCTCAACTGCCGTCTGCCACCCCTCCACCGCCTTTTCCAGTCTTGCCTGGCAGCCCTGTAGCCCTCGTCCAGGCAGCAGAGCGCTCCGCAATGGTGATCCTAGTGATGGCAGTGAGCGCGTGGACTGGGCGGGGGATGCAGAGGACAGCCGCAATGCGGAGGCGGTGAAGGCAGTCTTCTGGGCTGTGGTGCAGGGGGCGGAGGAAGGAGAGCAGAGTGGGTGGGTGACCTTTCAGGAGCTGGACAAACCGGTCAGCAATGGCGATCTTTCAACCCATTTTCTTTTATGGGGTAGGAGACAGATGGGGGGTGGGCGTGGACAGAGCTGTTATTCCTATAGATGCAGGCCGATTCAGAATGCGGCAGAGGTCAGAGTTCAGGCGAGAGTTGGGGATGTCAGGAATGGGTGACCCTCATGACTTGGGCTACTAGACCATTTTCAATCACCATAGAGACTCTGCGGTATTTTGGACTGAAGGGTGGGGAGAAAAGCATACCATCTTTTATGTTTGTGGTCTGAGAAATGAAATAAGTGCCTAAAAATTGAACTCTGGGTTAAGAGCATGGGGCTTGCCTTCTTGGGGCTGCATAATTTGCTCTGTGACCTGTGTGAATCACTCACATCTCTGGGCCATCTGTGACGAGGATAGGAGCAGCTCCTCTCTCTCACGGGGTTGATACAGGGGCCAGAGTGCATCACAAAAAGACGTGTGCCCTAACATCAAGAACACCCTAAAAAAAATAAAATAAAAAAAGAACACCCTGCCCGTTGTGAAGACCTGTGGGTGGCTCACAGTGAGGGCTAGGGTCAGGGAAATGTCCTTTCTCTCCCCACCTTGGAATTCATCTGTGCTCCTCCCAAGGCATAGTGTGGGAGGTCTCACACAGGAAGTGAGACAGGGTTGGAATGAGTTGTTCAAGGTCACACATCGTGGTAGACAATGATCAGAAACTAGACCTCCGGTACTTGGTAATAGTGTTGTACCCCTTGACATTATTGCCATTCTGAATTCTTGAATAACAGTGACACTTTCTAGGGCAAAAATGATCTTGCCATCCCTGGCACAATCAGCTTTCTCCCCTGAACCCTAAACATTGGTTACGTTCACAGTCTGAGCCAGTGGTTGGTTCTCAATGATACTTGATGTCCATCCACGATCTACAGACAAGCAGGAGAGACCACGAAATGGACAATAGACCCAGGAGAGAGGAAAGCCAAAGGGGACTTAGGAAATGCCCTCATTTTGTTGTAATGCTGGCTTCTGCTTATTCACCACTTACTATGTTCTGTGCTGTTTGAATCCTTTATGTGCATCATCTCAAGTCATTCTGTGAGATCAGGACCTTTAGCATTTCTTTTACAGATGAAGATAGAGTTATAAAGAGGTTACATAAGGTTAACATAATGGCTATGTCGCTGGACTCCCACGTAGTCGACCGCGGTTCTCGTCCCAGACCCGGTGGCTTAAAACTCATGCCGGGCGCATGTGCGTGCGTGCCCAAGATCCCGAGAGGAGAATGGAGGAGAAGGGATTGCGGCGTGACCATCCCCCCTGGGGGGTGATTTCTCGCTTTATGTCTCTATGTCTCTCTATGTCTGGCGAGTGCACGCGCCCTATAGTGAAAATCTCTCCAAAAAAAAAAAAAAAAGAGGTTACGTAAGACCCAGCATCACGCAGAAGTGGAAGAGGCAATATGAGTCCAAGGAAGGGAAACTATTGACTAAGGTTATTTGGTTAGTAGCAGAGCTGGCTCTAGAGGCATGGTATTAGAGCTGGGAGAAAATATAGGGTTCCTTAGCATTAGTCTTGTATAGGTGAGGATACTGAGGTGCAGCGAGATTAAGGCCTGCCCCAAGGTTCCCTGGAGAATCACTGACAGAACTGGGATGCAAATTCAGGTCTCCTAGTTACTTGTCAGTGCTCTTTCTTTTACTTCAGCTTCTGAAGTCCAGGTAAGCCCAGATTCAGTGACTAGTATTTTTTTTTTTTTCACCTCACTAAAAAACTAGAGAGGAAAAGAGAACTGACAAATTCTCTCCTCTAGAGACACAGATGAGACAGCATAGGAAGTTGACTTTTAAAAACAAGTGAGTCTTTGGGCTGACAATAATTATGTGAGCAGAAACTCACAACCAACTCTGTCAATGTGGAATTGCATCAGAGACTTATTTTACAGACCCAGAAATATGTTTAGCCTCAACCAAACCACAACAGAAGCATGCATGAAAAGACAAAAACCTAAGTAGTAAAGACGATTCTACCTACTGTTCCATCCTATGATGGGATTCTCCAGGGTCAACAAAGGGAGGGAAGATGTAAGAATTCAACTGGTCTTGATTTTTATTTATTTATTTATGTATTAAAGCTGAACACTTCTCCATACTGAGTGCTATGCAGGTGTTTAAAGATTTTAATTTTTCCATATAGCATGGCATATTTATCCATTTTATTATCCAGTGTTAATACAAAAGATCACATGTACCATACTTGACTTGTGAGAGATTTATGGAGTTCCCAGATAATTTTGATTAGGTATTGTTTTCACTCTCTGCTCTGAGTTTAGAAATGAGCTCTGTGAGCATCACTGAAAGACCCCCCCCCACACACACACACACACTGCATAAATGGTTCCTAAGCCAGATTGCCACGGTGGTCAATATTCCACCATTATGTATTTGTTTAGGGCAATGAAGACTCATGGGAGGGAAAAATCCTTAGTAAGTTAATAATACTTGAGCATGGACTAGTTTCCAAAAGAACTTTTAGCCTGAAGGCATGGAATATGGTACAAATATTTTTTGGTTATGGTAGATAAACGAAGGTGAGGAAAAAAGAAGACTAGATTAAGAACCACAGCTAAAAGAAGAGATGGGAGGATGCAAAGCCTATATCCCTCATCTGAGTTTCCTTCAGGGTAGCTCTACTGAGGTCTCTTTCGCCAACAGTTTTCTTTGTTTTTCCTCTGCCCAACAAATTAACACTTGCCATTTGGATCCAACTTCTTCCTGCCATTTGTTTTGCTTTGGTAACTGAACTGTTTTCTGTTGCAAGGAGTAATTATTAATTTTATTATTTACTCCCTTAAGTATATAATAGAAACTGTGGAACCGCTTTAGAAAAGTATGCACATATCTTCAGTGAAGGTTTACATAGAGATTCATTGTCCTCTGACTTACTCCAAGGTTAGAAGCTGCTAGTCAATCTAGTGTAATGCATAATGGATATGAAGTTGGAAGGGTTAGGCCCTGACTGACCATCTTTCTTTCTTTCTTTCTTATGAACTACCCAATGTTTATGTTTGGGGAAGTCTTTTTCTGTAAGCTTAAAATTATTTTTTCCCATTTATAGAATTAGGGGAATGACCCAAGATGATGTGGACAGTAAATTTCAAAGCCTCATCTTCAGGGATGCCCTGGGAGAAGAAA